GGGGATCAGGATTTAACTGGCACTCCCCCAATTAAGAGGCTTGGGCATACTCCTGGGGAGATGGGAAGGTGTCTTATTAGATGAGGGGAAGCTTTAGCCTGGCCCACACTTCCCATTCCCCTCCATCCCAATGTACCCTCCATCCAGCCACCTACCTAGGCTGGGCTCAGTTCCATTCCTGCCTCCACATTGTTGCAACTCCAGGTCTATTCCGCACCTGCTCTGCAACCAGCCCTTAGGCATCCTGCCCTCATCCCCAACACACTCCTGTTGCATGAGCAGGGCTTTGCCATAGAGCACAGGGTGGGGGGAGCCCGGTAGCTGCACTGGGTTTGGGGGTGCAGAAAATCCATTTAGCCTCCCCACACTAGATTATCCCACTTCCAGAAAATCCCATAAGCTCTGTCTTTTGCTCTTGTCCTGTCCTTCCAGATCCTTAAGCCCTGCTGGCCTGGGTTAACCCTTGAAGTGCTGTGGGGAGCTGGGAGAGGCTGATTCTGGGCTGGGGTCACAGACAGGGCTGTGTTAGCAAAGGGTTTCCACTAATAGGTTGTGGGAGCTGCTGTGGGGTACATGCCCCACTCTGGTTCTCAGGGGGCATAAGAGAGTCAAGGGTGGGGACAGGAAAGGAGTCAGGGGAGATGAGATTCAGAGCAGGGAGGGGGGAAAAAGGAGCTCCTGGGGGGGGAAGAAGCCAAACTTGGGATGGAGGGCAGCTGAGGAGCTCCATGAGCGGAGGGACCCAGGCTCCATGCCAGGCTTCCCCCTAGCTGCTGGGCCAGGATGCTCTGTTCCCCAGCCCTGCCTGTGTGTGTCGGTGTTCCCTCCCACCCCTTTGTGTCTGTCTGCCCAAATCCGTGCGGTTGTGTTGCTGTGTGTGTATTCATTGCGGTTGCATGGGTGTGGGTGTACATCCATCCTTGGTATGTGTGTGCATGAGCATGTGTATATCCACTGTGGTGGTGTGGGAGGGGGTGCACACACTACAGTGTGTTCCAGAGAGAGAGTGTGTATGTACCCATTGTGGGTTTGTATATGAGTGTGTGTGTGTGAGGGGGGTGCACATATGCATTGTGCATTTGTGTACGTAGTACAGTGTGTATGTGTGTGATACAAATATCCACTGTAGGTTTGTGTATAGAGTGCAGTGTGTGTGTGTGTGTGTGCGGTTGTCTGTTGGTGTGGAGTAAAACTCCATTGTGAGTTTGTGTATGCAATGCAATGTCCATCTGTGGTTGTGTGCTGGGGGGTGCAGATATCCACTGTGCACGTGTGGTACAGAGAACGTAGAAGATGTACATTGTGGGTTATTGTGTACATGGTGCAGTGTGGGGCAGGGTGGTGTGAGCTCCATCCCTGTCTGGCTGTGCTTCAACTCTTCCCCGCCCCCACGCACCTGCCCCTGGCTATGGATCCCTATCAACAGGAAATAGGCACTTTACACTTATTGATCCACCAGCAGGAGGGAGGAAGGGGGCAGCCATGGCAAGGACACAGCTGGGCAGAGGGAGGGGTCGGGCAGAGAGGGAGGGGTCAGGCTGCAGGAGTGAGTCTGGGCAGGAGGGCAATGGGGGAGGGGGGAGACTATGAGTGGGAGGGAGGGGCTGGAAGCCAGGACTCGGTGTTCGCTCCAGCTCCGGGAGGGGAGTGGGGGCTGGTGGTTAGAACTAGGGGGCTGGGAGCTGAGCTGGGTTCTCTCCCCAGCTCTGGGAGGGGAGTGGGAACATGCAGTAAGGGCATGATGGGAGGGGAGACAGGTGGAGGGAGCTGGGCTCTGGGGAGGCAGGGCAATTGAGGGAGACTAAGCAAGCAGGGAGGGGGGCACCTAGCTGGGCACTGGTCCAGGCTGGGCAGTGCCTGGCTGTGCATCAGCAGGGGCACATGAGGCCACGTTCCTTCCCATGGCGGCAGTACAATGCACCTCCATGCCCTCCCTCCTCTCACACTGGGGCAGCCTGCCCAGACACATGCACCTCCCCAGAACAGCTCTCCCCTCCAGAGCTCTGAGAGGCACCAGCTAGCCCCAGAGTGAGATGTGGGGGGTAAGGGCCCCTGGGTACAGTGTGAATAAACACCAGATGTCATGCCCCCCCCACCCCCCACTCCCTTCCCAGAGCCAGGGAGAGAACTCAGGAGTCCTGGCTCCCAGCCCTGCCTCCCTCCCAGCAGGGACCATCTCTGGCTGCAGTACCAGACCTAGCCATAGTTGCACCCTGGGCAGCAGGCACACGGCACACCCGCTGCCCCGGCCCGGGCACGCAGTGCATGCGCAGCCCCACGGCACCCCTTACCACTTCAATCAGGTGCCCCTCATAAGTTAGCACCCCAGGCAGCTGCCCAGCTAGCCCCCCCCTTAGTCCGGCCCTGTCTGGCTGTGCCTATGCAGTACCTGTTACAGCTGGGCCTTCCCCTCATAAATGCAGGGGGCAGGACCCCCAGCTACAGGGCTCCACAGCTCAGATCCTGACTCTCCCCAGGCCCCACATCAACCAGTGAGCCATTGCACAGCCCAAGAAGATTATCACAGAGCAATCTGTCAGTGGGGGGGGGGGGGGTGAGAGAAGAGAGATAAAATTCTCCCAAGGGAAAAAATATGTAGGTTACTAGGGGAGAAAATTCCTCCCAGGATGTCAGGGGATGCTCCCCCAGCAAAGTGTGTGGGGG